TGAGGAAAAACATTTCTGTTACTATTGTTGCTGGTTTTTAATTACAAATGGTTTATGAGATATTTGCTTACTGAGCAAAGCAGAATGTGGTAAAATAAGAGTACATATTGTTTTGCTGGTGGTAAGTGGTTAGCTGACAGAGGTTAGCATTGCTCCCATGTAGCACTGGGGTTTTAGGTTCAATTCCAGGCCTGGGGTTCTATCTGCGTTGAGTTTGTATGTTCCCCCGTGTTCCTTTGGGTTTCCTCCAGGTGCTCTGATTTCCTCTGTCCAAGAACATCCTGCTAGGTTAATTGGCTTCTGAAAAAACTGGCCGTAGTGTGAGTGTTTGTGTGTGTGCCCTGTGATGGACTGGCGTCCTGTCCAGGGTGTACTCTGTCTTGCGCCTGTTGCATTGGGATGAACTCTGGCTCTCCCGTGCCCCTGAATTGGAAGAAGTGGTTAGGAAGTGGATGGATATGTATTGTGGATCATGCTTCTGTTTTTAACTGTTTCAGACGCACAAAAAAGCTGAAGAAAATATAACACAACCTCCTTGTAAATTCTCAGTTAATGGTACAGTTTAAAAATGTTATCCTGTTCAAACGATATTTGTATTTTAACTCCTTGAAACTTCAATAATTAAGGTTTGGATCTAAATATTTTACATGATCCATAAAGCTGTATCATTAATGAATGAAAGAACATGCTTGAAACTTAAAATGGCATGCGAATGTTATATTTAAGAAGGGTGCTATGATCTAAAAAGTTAGACTGAATGAAACCTTGGTGCTGAAAAGTTAATGTTCTTGACCGCAAGGGAAAGAAGTGTGCCAGTATGCAGCTCCATTTGTAGGCATTTAGCGCAAATTCACTGTGTAGCAATTAAAATTAATTGCAGATTTCACATTCATGAGTGTATAAAGCATGTGCACATATTCTGTGGCAAATTGAAAAAGCGATGTATTTATCTTCAGACTATACAGCCAGAAAAGGCAAATCTGAAGGTTAACTTATGACAAAGGAAGAAAATGCTGTTTGAAAACAGTACAGTATGTCTCTAATGACTTAGTTAACTGCCAGAAGGTGTCATATCCCCAGAAGTGCATTTTGACCAAATTATTTTTTTTAGGCCCAGTTTATTGGACCATTTATCTTGAGTGTATTCTAGATCCACAACAATGATTGACCAGATAAGCCACAGATCAATCAAAGAATATACTCGGATTCCCAGAGTGCTGAATGAAACTGTCATGTGACAGTCATGAAATTCCTCCTGCCACGAGTTTGTTATACAGGACTGAGAATGTTTTTAAGACCAGGCCAATTGAAAGGATTACCTTGTAATACCTTGTATGGAGTGTGGTAATATCCAGGGTTCTCTTTCACAGAAAGTGTTCAGGGAATTAAAGATTTGCTTCTGAACTAGTCTCTTTAGAGATTGTTTGGCTTCTTGAAAATGGATTTTCAAGAAACAAATTTCGTTCATTTCGTTCACACTTGAACCAGCCAGCCAAAGCATCCCAAAAATGAAAGTTTAACTTTTTTCATAATAGACTTTGGGACATTACATCTGTTTAGTTGGAAAACCAGCACATCAGTGCACATTTATGCAGCTGTTTAACTTTGTCCTCTGTGCGTTTATTCATTCTCCATTGTTTGTCAATTGTGCATTATTTTTCTCTGCAGTGTTTTCGAAAAAACATGGCTTTTCTAAGAACTGAACATGTTCTTGTCAGACTGAGGGACTGCAGCCACACCCACTATGTAAGAAGAAACTGTTGGCCTCTGAACAAACCTTGATTTCTGTCTATATGCCAAACTCCAAAATTCTATAGCTTCTGTGAAAGTATAATTGTTGTTTTTGTCAATATATTAGTTAGTTTGCTCTAGGATTGCATTTTATTGTAAAAATAGTAAAGCAGTATAAGGTTTTATTAACCTGATGTTTTTTCTCAAAGCTGTTGCAATGCATTCTGGGGCATCTTGGCTGTGACAAACTGTTGTATTGGCTACAACCATCATTTTGATTAGCATGAATGGTTCTAATACTGGGCTCAGTAGATGAGTGGTTGAGATCGCCCAGAGTGTCCACAGAAATGTCTTACTACAACATTATAAGCAAATCAGGTCACCTTGTAATATACAGAGTGATTTTTATGAACTGACCATCAAATTAGAATGCAAATCATCCTCAAATGTTTGAAATTCATAGCTCGTTTCAAACATCTCAAGTATGTCCTCCTCTAGGTTAATAATACCAAGAATCTTCTGTTTTATAACCCCTTTCAAACAGAACATCTGCATGTGCTTCACAATATTAAACAGTTAAAAAATAATTAAAGCAGTTAAAAAAATGACTTGTTGTAAAAATATGTACAATAATAACAGGATGAGCCAATGAAAGTCAGGGTATTGAAATGTGTTTTCAATTATGATTTAAGAGCTTCTACAGAATTAGTAACTTCTATGACTTCTGGAATGTCTTTCCATATTCTAGGGAATAGGTAAGTAAAATCTCACTTTCTGAAATAACAGTTCTTAGTTTTTGGTACTGATAAGAAGCTTGAGAAGAGAAATCAAAATATATGCTTGCTACTGTATGGAGGAATTAGATTACAAGTGTAATCAAGCGATGACCCATTCCATTGAGTGTCAGCACTAAGATTTTACTTGTGACTTTGGACTCCACTGGGCTCCACTGGGAGCCAATGCAGAGAAACTAGGACTGGAGTGATGCAATTATAGGATTTAATTTTAGTAAGCATATGAGCTGCTGAGTTCAGGACGTACTGTATTGCAATTTGTTGAAAACGCATTCTGAAATGCAGACGAGAAAAGCATTATAGTGCTCATTCTGCTTCTGCAAACATACAAATTTTGCAATATGTTCTGAAGTGTGTCCAGTGAATATGAATAAACATCTTCTTCTGCTGCTGCCTCTAAATTCTCAGAGGTGTAGGTTAACTTCAATACTTCATCTTCCAGGTGTACTCAGTGGTAACTATCATACTGATTCAGATTAGGTGATTGGAGTGGACTTGGATATCAGTATCCCGTCAGAAAGGGCTCTAGGGCCAAACTGTCTTCCCAGAATTTTGACAGTATGAACTTCAACATCTCTGTTGAGGTTTCTTTGAACAGTGACAACAAAATTCCCAGAACAGAGAAACCTTTTTCATTCATGCTGCATGACAAACAACAGCTGTTGTGTCAGGTTCTGGGACACTAACTTTTGGAAATCCAATTTCCTATCATCTTTAGCTTCGTGAAGAAAATGTGTGCTGCTCACCTCATACATAACAGTTTGAAAGATATGATATTCAGATGAATGTGAAATCCAGCTGTATTATTGTTAACAAAGATAGCATTTCAACTACTTATTTCAGTTGCCTTTTGTAACAATTGAAACTGTCTTTAATTTGGTACATCTTGAGGGTAATTTATTAAAACAGTACAGTGGGAGGACTGTGGTTTTATTTATGGGCACATGGTTGAATAATTGTGGTTTGATTATTTATTTTTACCATTTGTCCGCAGGCGATTTATTTACAGATGTCTTTTCCGCTCCAGGATGGCTGCAGTCAGTGGTTCTGAATGGCTTCCCCTGCAGAACTGAGCATTAATCATTTTTCTCTGTAGCTGTCACTCTTCTTTCCCACTACTGAATTCCCCATTGACATGAAGCTGCAGATTTATCTTCTTCATTCCCTTTTTTATTTTCCTTATTTAACAAGGTCTAAGAAGATGATGACCTTCCCATAGAGGAAAAGCCCTTTATAATGGCATTTTCTTTAAAGTACAAAGTCTCCTGCCCCCAGAAAACATTGCAGTGTAAAAAAGTCCTAAGTATTCGGAAACAGCTACTGTAGACAGTTGAAAAAGAATCTGTGAGGTAACCGAGCTGCAAATCTCCTAAGCAGAGAGTGAGGATCAGCGGGCAGGTTTTGCCACGGCAGTTCTGGCTCAATCAAGCTCACAGCCAGGTGCTACAATTTACAGAGGGTTTATTAAAACGGTATTCCTGACACCGAGCATGAACGCCATTAGGACATGAAATACCGATAAGAGCACAGCAGTCACATGAAAACACTCCTTGCTGTTACAGGGCCACCACAGCAAAAATCTTAAATTAACTTTTAGGACTTAAAAAGCATGGAAACCATTTTTTCTCCCTATGCACACCTCTCACTCCTCCAGCTCCCTTTTCCCCATCTGTTTGCCTTCTGGGTATGTGCGTAGATTAACCAGACACTGGCTTCAGAGTGATCAGCTCGACTCCAATATTGCCAACCCTTTTTTTTCTAAAAGCAATACAACATGAGGAAAAGTGAACAAGCAATTGCCTGTTATTTTACAGCTCATTATTCTAACCTTGCCTGTCCGCTATCCTACAAATACTTGCCAACTGCCCTCAACTCTGTGTGCATGTATTCTCTGACCCCTCCTTCCACCCCGTCTTCACCCTTGCAGCTGCCTCCCTGGCTCATTCCTCACATGTGAGAGGGGGTTGTGAAAGGACTAATCTTCTCCCAGCACTGTCCTTTCCTCAGCCAGATGAGTTACACTTAAGTACTATAGCCGTTTGTATTTGTCATATACAGTAAGTTCGTCGTTACTAGAATTCCAGATTTCAGGTCCCATTATTTGTTGACAGGTATCCACCAGGCAAAGGTAAGGTGATACAGTAACATTACAGATTTCTAATGTACAACTGGAGGGTAGGTTGAAGCTTCTATACAATCCATGGGACTTGGTAGCCTTCAGCAACATTAGAAGGTTCAAAATCACTGCAGAAAGAGCAACTTTGCAAAAGTTTAATAAACCTGCTCCTCAAGTTGATGAGAACAGTCTTGATATATGTCCTCTAAGGGGGTTATTAGCTCCTTCAGAGGCCTGTCTGTGCTGCGATGTATGTTTGCTGTGTTTGGCTGCTGGAATTTGCTGTGAAGGGCTCTGGGGTCTTTAGCAGTGTTGAAGGGTTCTGCTCCTTCTCCCTATTGTTGCAGCCCACCCCCCCTCCTCTAGACCTACAAATCCCTCTGCAGGATCGAGTCAGGAGCAGCGAGAGAGGGGAAGAAGAGGAAGAAGGAAGGTGCATCTGCCAGGAGTATCCAGAGGTTACAGAACAAAGAGAATAATGATTCTGACACCTAGGGGAGGAGCTGGGCTGTGAGAGAGTGAAGAATGCCGGTAAGCCTGACTTGTTTCCCTTGACAGCTTTATCGGCCTTGTGGTTCAGATGTGCTTGGCGTTATCCAGTCACGCTTGGAGCAATCTGTTACATGCATGTACACACCCTCATCAATACCTTCTAGTCTGCATGTGGAAGGAGATGTACAGTAGGTTACTCCCTAGTTCTGAATGCAGTGAAACAAAGAAACGTGCAATTTTAGTATCCACTGCTCTGACAGATGCTTCTTTTCAAGGTGACTTATGGTATTGCATCATCCATGCAGCATCACAATTGAAAATCTTGCGCATGAGTGTCCGGTGATGTAACTGTCTTTATTATCACACAGTTATTGGAAATGATTACATTCAAATTTTACTTCCTTCTGTGTAAATTCCTCTTGAGAGGGGCAGACAGCAAATTGAAACGTGACTGCCAGTCTCAACAAATTGAGTAGATCTTCTTTATCTATGGCGATGCGTTGTGTGTGCTTGCATGTGTGTGTGAAGAGTGTTTGCACTGTGGAGACTTTTCTATACCATTGACAGTGCTTTCATCCTCTGTGCGTCAAAAGTTATCACTGCATGTTGGTACCTGGAGACAGCAGAAACTGGAGTGGAGATCAAAGTGATATCCTTAAGAGATAACTCTATATAGGCCCATTAAATGGAAATTTATTCTGCTTTTTGGTGTTGTTTTTCTTTCAGCTTCTTAAATTGTTAAGGGTCTAGCATTCCCTTGAGAAAAACACATTTCAACTGCAAATATTCAATTGCTTCTTGCATAGTTCCTTCATATATATTATGCATATGTATCTATGGAGCTAGTGTGCTCATGCAAGAGGGGTGGCAATTTTCAGACATTGGGAAAAACTCAACTTTCTCATATTATGGAGCAGTGGTCCAAGGGACACTCTTTAGGAGCTCCTCTGTTCCCAGAAGTTGTGAATAAGTTTTGAACCAGAGGCACTTGGATTCTCTTAAACAACCCTCCAATTTCATTTCATAAAGTACCATGAATCCATCCTTCCATCCATCTTCTAACGTCTTCACCAATACAGTGTCGTGGGGGATCTGGAGCCTATCGTGGCAAGCAACAGGCGCAAGGCAGGGTATCCCCTGGACGGGACACCAGTCCATCACAGGGCACACAGACACATTCACACACTCAAACCAGAGCCAGTTTTCCCAGAAGCCTTTTAATCTACCAGTATGTATTTGGACTGTGGGAGGAAACCAGAACACATGGGGGAATGTCACGTGAAAATAGGGAGAACCTACATATAGCACCCCAGGTCCAGAACTGAACCCAGGGCCCCAGCGCCACTAGGCAGCAGTGCTAACCACTGTGCCACCCCACCATTAATCTTTTTACTCCATTTTTTTTTCCAAAAATGAAACCTAAGTCCTGTTGGGATCAACGAGTCACATTCAGTGTGCATTGTTATGGTCCATTTTTAAGGGAATGAAATGGGCAAAGTTGTTATCAAGATTATCAGTGCTTGAGAAGAAAGGGTTTTCAGATGGGACACCTAAAGTTTCAAGAGACCCATATAATATTTACACAGGTTTATGTTTTCTAAGCTGTCATCAGTGCACTGAATCTCAAGTTGCTTCTGTAGAGGTTGTGTCTGTCTGTGAGGGTTTAGGGCACACTTTGAAACATGAAAAAGGACGAACAGTTGCGTAATAGTGAAAAGTCTTTTTTAAGCCTCCTCTCGCTTGTCTCCAAGCACTTTCATCACTCCATCCTTAAGACAAGAAAACACAAGCCCAGCTGAAAAAAAAATGTAGCGAGCTCTTCAAACATACTTCGGTGAGATTGATTAGGGTCTTTAGAGACAGGCCTAGGAGCGGTGTCGCTCGTTCATCAGTGATACTTGTTAGGCTGATCCTGTGTCACTGCTCTGTGGGCCTGCCTCCGCACTTCAAGAAAAAAGAAATGCAAATCAGTCCCGTTAAAGAACTGGCACACACTTCTTGGACGTTTCCACCCTTGAGTGCAATTTAGTGCAGGAAAGAAATAAAATTGGCCTGGAAAAAGGAAGCGCTTTTGTAAGGTAAAGCTGAACCGCTGGTGGTGGTCTCCTGCTCCGCTCAGGCCTGTTCAGTGACTCTTGAGTTCGGCACTCCTTGCACTGAGTTTGCAGTAGGATTCACAGGCCCAGAGCAGCTGATAAGAGGAGGTTCTCTGCTTGAGAACAATAACAAATTATTAATGACCCGCTGTTCCACATTACGGGTGTGTGAAGCTGAGGACAGTTTCACAAAGAGCTTCCAGCACTAAACAGACAGCTGGCTAGGGAACACACATGCCAGCTTTCCCAAAACAGCACTTCGGAAAAGTGGCTGAAAGATGAGCCGTTTCATTTGCTATTCTGTCTTCTCCTTTGTGAGGCCAAGCTGGGTGTAATAGATTTGCTGTACAGATGAGGTATGAGGGAGCTGGGACCTGCTGGAGTGTCAGGAATTTACATGTAGCTCTAATGTACAGTGCAAAGTGACCCCTTTGCCTGGTCAATCTGATTAGAAATTGTGTGTCAATGCTTGTGTTACATAAAGACTTCTTTCACTCTGTCTGCTCACAGCAGTCAGATCTGCCTGCCCATCTTCCCTGCATTTAAAATAATTTCCCTTGTTTATGGCTGGGTATTTGTCCTTTGTTTTATTTGGGAATGCTTAATTTGGCCGTATAAAGAGCATCCAATGGGCTGTACAGTACCATGCACTGCCATTTGGGTCTTTTTCCTGAGAAAATGCAAAGGTTTCTTTTGGGCAGGTACAGAGCTGCAAAGCACGCAGTTTCTGCCAGGAGGTTTCCATGGCAATGCTGAAAATCTTCAGCTGGTAGATGGCTGAGCCATTCTGAATGCAGCTGAAATGAGTTTCCAGGACCAGAGCTGGAAACCCACAGAAAAGCTTTTTAGAGCAGCTGAATAACATTTTTCTAATCTTTTTCTTCTCTCTGTTTTGCTCATCCATCCCTGAACCAGAAAGTGTTTGTATTTTTTGTCCGTAGGAATAAAGCACGACAGTCTGTAAACCTGTGAAGCTGCCTGATCATTGCAAACAATAGGCGATGACAAAGGCCAAACAGCTGTCTATCCAGGGGGGGCTTCTCTGTGTCTGTGCTGTGTGCCGCTTTGAAGGGGAGAGTGTAATGAGCCAGGAGCTTTTCTAAGGCTGTTAAAATGGGCAGGGGCAGGATTTCCAGAAGTTGTCTATTTATACTGCACACACCTTCTTATTGCCATGCAGGGTAACAATATAAGAGAGAGAACAGATGTGTTGAGAGCAGTGAACTGATTTGGAGAGTATATCATTTTTCTGTATAATTTTCTCTCCTCATTCCTGTGTAAAGTCTAGTAAACAATATACACACTCTCACCAGAAATGTTTTTAGAAAACTTTTGGCACAGATTTAAAAAAATGTTTGACATTATGTAAGAGAACCTATAACAAACACTTTATTTTTTCTTAAAAAAGGGGGAAAAAACAACTACTTGTGACCTAGCTTCAGCACCTTGCATGGATGTGACACAGGAGCTTTCCTGCAGACTTCTTTTGCATCCTGGCACTGAGTTAACAGGCAGCATGACTGCTGATAACCTGGTAGGGCCTCTCATGTCAAGATGCTACAAATAAACAGCCAGTGTGTCATGCCTGTCCAGTTCTGGAGACACATGCTTCCTCTGAAATTACATTTTGAACAGGATTCATTAAAAGAGGGAACAAGTCTGCTGTTGGTGTCGGAAGAATTGCTTTTAAAAATATGTGTAGCCAATGATTATAAATATCACAGTTCTTCAATTTAGTCTGCTGACTGAAAAACAGGGCACTGCTGATAATGAACGAAATTGAGCTATCGATTGCCTTTAAACATGGCTTAGTCTGCTGTTTCTTTCAAGGGAATTGATAGGTGCAGTCTGACAGAGACTGTCAGAGGAATGGGGTATCTGTGCCGTTTTATACAGCCTCCTCTGCGTTTGTTGCTCCTGTCAGCTGCATCGACTAGGAAACGCGGTTTGAGAGTGTGATGGTTTGTCAGTGGAGAACAGCGCCCTCTGGGCAATTTTCTTTGGTACTGCAGCTACAGCACCACAGACATGACAAGCTTTGGAAAAGAAAATCGTACCAGTTAGAAAATAACAATATATGTCAGAAATGGATGGTAAGAGAAGCCTGAACCAGTTTTGTTGTCTGCCAGTTGTTTGCGTTATTGAACAAACCAAGTGTTGTAGTTTGTAAGATAATCATTGCATTATAGATCTGGCCCTACTTCTTCCAAGGGCAGTTTAACAATACTGGCAATAGCTGCCTTGACACCTGAAACAGTTTGGATAACAGCTTCCCTTGCTGCATAATGCTGTGTAGTTAGGAATCTGTGATCGCTGGAGCTCAAACAATAGGTACCAGCCATGGCATTAAAAACTGGAGTAGCTGTATGGTTCTTACTGAGCAATTCTTAGCACAAAAACTAAAGGAGAAGTAATATACAGTATTGTAACGCATATGGCCGACATTACAGGTTGTGCGAGCTGGCTTACCAGCGTGGTGACGTCACCGCACTTCCCTGTGAATAGCAGGGACCGCAGCCGCTGGGCTGACAGGAGATTTCCCTTTAGCTCAACTGGCTGGGTCCCTGTTGAGTGACGCCGGAGGCCCGGGTTCGAGTCCCCAGCAGTGGGGGGCCGACCTGAGGCAGCAGGGGTGAGGGTGCCTACCCATGTAAACCCGAGAGTGCTACAGTATATATGTTTTATACGGGTGGATAGCTGCGTCAGCATGCATAGGCTGCAAAGGAACAATTAATAGGTTTATTCCATGCCGAAAAGAGAAGAAAGAAAACAGAATGTTTCTGAAGAAGGCTCCACGGCTGAAACGTTGTGTTTTCTTTCTTCTCTTTTCAGCATGAAATAAACCTATTACTTGTTCCTGTTTTATATACAGTATAACTATCTGGGCCACTTGCACAAATGCCTAAATCAGTGGGGTGCTTTTAAATTAAACATCTTGTAATT